GCCGTGTTGGTAAAAGCTGGGCATGAGCTTCTGTGTGCATGCACACGTCTTCAAATGCATTGAAATAGATGTCCTCAAGCCTTACATATAGGCAGAGAAAGGGCAGGGGGTTAGTTGCCAGGAAGGTCTAGTTAGGACGCAATGTTCCCTCTAAGCTGTGGAGTCTTGTGAGCAAAAATCCTACTTTGTGAGCTACTGGCATTAAGGTTGTGAGCGAGCAATTTGGCTATTGCATAAATTAGTTTGCTTTGGAGCCATCCTTCCTGAGCTAACACAAAAATGTGTGAGCCAGAGGCTAAAAAACTGTGAGGTAGCTCACACTAACTCATCTTAAGAGGGAACACGGGTTAGGAGACAAGATGCATATGTAATTGGGTGATAAGTATAGCAGAGTTTACTTTTGCATCCTGACTCTAACTCATCCTGGCAACTAACCCCTCCCCTCTCTATCTATATGTAATGCCTGAGGAAATCTGTTTCAATGTATCTGAAGAAGTGTGCATGCACAGGAAAGCTTATACCCAGAATTAAACTTCGTTGGTCTGAAAGGTGCCCCCCCTGGACACAAACTTTGTTCTGTTGCTTCAGGCCACCACGGCTACCCCACCTAAATATACAAAGTATTTGTAGTAGTAGCTAACAAAAACGATTTGGTAACAAAAGGGATGGATTAAATTAGATTAGGTAAAGTACAAGGCAACAACCGAGAGCTGGAGACAAAGCAACAAAAATCCCTAATGTGTCTACCTTTTAATTTCCCATTCCACTAGGCTCAAGGCCACACCAGGTGAGGAATCAGTCCGCCTCCAAGAGTGAATGCCCTCCCTCCTGCTGCAAGGCCCTTTATGCTTTTTGCCAAGACACCACCTCTTCACCTGTGATTGGCTTCCGTTTTCCTTCCATTTCTCCCTTGCCCAATCACGAGACAGAGGGAGCCTGGTTACTATAGGCCCACAGCCTAATCTAGCTGAGGCTTTCTGGGGCCTGCAGGCCTCAATCTGCCTTGGCCTAGGCTAGGGTTGCCAGCCTCCAGGTGAGGCCTGGGGATCTCCCGCTTTTACAACTGATCTCCAGCTGACAAGAGACCAGCTCCTCTGGAGAAAATGGCTGCTCTGAAGGGTGGACTCTATGGCATTGTACCATGCTGAGGCCCCTCCCCAAACCCCGCCCTCTCCTGGATCCACCCCCAAAGTCTCCAGGTATTTTCCAACCCAGACCTGGCAACCCTAGCCTAGGCTCAGGAAATAAGCCTAGAAATAAGCCATGCCCCCCTGGCAGGGCCATATGGCCCACGATGAGAATCAGTGTGTTAAAGAAGGGGGACGGGAATCAAGACTTTCTGTTGTGAACTACCCACAGCTGCACAAAGCCAGCTGTTTGTCCGCAGTGGCAGAATACAACAGGAGTCCAGTGGCACCTTCAAGAGTAACAACATTATTTCCAGCATCATCATCCTAGCTCACTCCATCAAATACAACCATGAGTCAAATCAAACTTTCAATACAAGGCCAGCGTCAGCGTATCTTGAGATGGGGCAGCTGCCAGGGCTCAGGGTTTCGGGCGGGGCCCGCTGACGTTGATCCCCTTGCCCAGGGGCCTCCCCGGCTGCCCACCCACTCACCCTTCCCCCACCCACTTGCTTGCAAGCACCCTGTGTCAGCCATGTCCGCTGCCCAGCATCACCAGAGAAAGGGCATGTGAGTGGTACAGGCACCTGTGAACTATTAGCTATTAGCCACGAGGTATAGATAAGAACTCTCGGTCTGGGGCAAGGGATGCTCTGTAGTCTTGGTGCTGGGGGGCGGTGTCAACAGTGGGAGGAGCTTCTACTGTCCCGGCCCCACTGCTGGACCTCCTGAGGGCACCTGGTATTTTTGGCCACTGTGTGACAGAGTGTTGGACTGGATGGGCCTTTGGCCTGATCCAACATTGGCTTCTCTTATGTTCTTATGTCTGGGGCAAGTGTATTCCTGGTGCTTGAGGGGCAAATGTGGGAGGGCTCCTAGTGTCCTGGCCCCACTGCTGGACCTCCTGTTGGACTGGATGGGCCTTTGGCCTGATCCAACATTGGCTTCTCTTATGTTCTTATGTCTGGGGCAACTGTATTCCTGGTGCTTGAGGGGCAAATGTGGGAGAGCTCCTAGTGTCCTGGCCCCACTGCTGGACCTCCTGATGGCCCCTGGTATTTTTGGCCACTGTGTGACACAGAGTGTTGGACTAGATGGGCCATTGGCCTGATCCAACACTGGCTTCTCTTATGTTCTTAACAAAGTTATGAGTCCAGTGGAAGTTTTTGTAAGCGTGCACCCTTCGTCCGACGATGAAATGGAATTACATAGCATAGTTGTATCTATAGGGGTGGCTTGTTAAATTAGCATGCAGAATAGTGAAAATATTTTTTAAAAAACAGGTCAACAGAATGACAGGCTCTGGTTTCTGGCTACCATCTGTTTACCAAGCACATTTATACAAACACTGACACGCAAAGAGTATGACCAGCAACTGTTTTAAATAAGTAAAGTGCT